CATAATTATATTATGCCTAATTAAACCATTTATCTCCTAATTAAACCATTTATCTCAATATTTAGATTCAAAAAGTTTTTTTAATATAAAATCATATGCATAGTATAACACTCCTATACGCTCCTTCTCTAATTTTAAACTTGGCACACTTCTGTTTTAATCAACTCGAGTTAATAATGCTAATCTAGTAGGACTAAACAGCTAATAACTCGTATAATTTGTCTTGAACGTTGAAGGTTCTAAGAAAGAGATCGAACACGTTTATTACAAGCAAGGCGCAGCATATAAGTAATAAATATACTTCAAATATTCCCTTGTCATGTTGATTGTGTGGTTGATAAGATTTGTATTTGGGCCAAGAATGAGGTGGTGAAATTCTTTTCCATTGTCGTGAAGAATGTCGACTCGTGAATTTGTTTTTATTTGGTAAATCGACGTTTTCCGAAGTTGTTGTAATACAATGATAATTTTTTATCGTTTTAGATTGCAGATGACAATGTATGTTTTACAGAAGTGCTTATAAAAACGTTTTACTGAACAGAGTATCTCATTCAAAAAAACCACCCCTTAGACTTAAGCTAGAGAGCGGACCCTTTTTAATAAAAGTTTATTTTGACCTTTACCCTTTGAAGCTTAATCATTGCCAAGATACCATCAACCCCATGGAAGATTCTACCTCCTATCGGCAATTAACTAGGTCGTTGCATTATCTCACAATTACAAAATTAGATATCTAATTTGTGTCAATCAATTGTGCCAACATATGCACAATCCTACTACCTTTCACCACGTATTACTTAAACGTAGTTTTTTATATCTATTGGGTACAATTGATCATGACATTCTAGTTACAACTTTAGATCTTCAGTTACAAACATTCTTGGACTTCGATTGAACAGCTAATTTTATTAACCGCCAATCAATTACTGGTTATTTTTTGTATTAGGGCAACACGGCAATTTAATGGATTGTGAAGAAGCAACACGCTGTGGCTCCGTCATCGATGGAGATAGAATATTGGGCACTTACAACAGCTACAACATAAATTATATAGCTAAGGCGGCTACTCCAAGACTTTGATATCCCTCAATTACAGCCCACTGAACCACATTGTGACAATCTCTCAGCTATGGCTATAGCAACTAATTCAGTGTTTCATGCACGCACAAAACATATTGAAATTGATTGTCTCCTTATACACAATCATATCAACTCTAACGAAGTTCAAATTCATCATATTTTTACTCAACACGAACCAGCGGATATTCTGATGAAAATTGTCCAGAAATCACGGTTCAACCAGCTCAAATTCAAGCTGATGGTTCGACCAAGACCCATCACCTTGCCCAGGGATGAAAGCACCAATATGCCTACTAGAAATAAAGACAAATTAGGTGATGCTACTTAATCTCAAATCATAACTACTTAGCCAAGTACCTTTCTACCATTTCTCCTGAGAATTCCATTTCACCTACAAGTAGTGCATTGTAGCATTTGGGTTGATATGCAGAGAAAGAGAACCTTAGTTATGCAAGGTAATACCTTCCTGGTTTTATCTTCCCTGCTTCTGATTTCAGAATCACATCTCAAAAATAATAAGAGCAAAGTGAAATAAAAAAAGCATAACAGGTCAACATCACATCTTTACTTGCACATTACTATAAGATACTAAATACATGAAAATGAATTCAAGGATGTGCAAGTATTCTTTATATGATATATCACATAATAAAACAACGAAAATATATATATATATATATATATAT